GAGGGTGACCGAATTCGTAGCGCAAGTTGCGTCAGCTACGGAAGCGTGATTTCAAGAAGTGATGTACACGGAAGGATGGGAACATCTTTGGTGGGTGACAGGAGGTGATAGCATCTGATATGATTTGATAAGGGGCCTTAGACGCCGAGGGACCAGATTAGTAGCGCAGGTTGCAGCGACCGTGGGACCTTGATTTCAAGGAGTGATATACACGGCAGGACGGGAACACTTTTGGTGGGTGACAGGAGGTGATAACACCTGATAAGATTCGATAAGGGGCCTTAGACGCTGAGAGTCATCAAATTAGTAGCGCAGGTTGCAGCAGCTGCGGGGACCGTGATTTCAAGAAGTGATATACACGGTAGGGTGGTGGCTGACAGGAGCTGATAACATCTGATAAGATCCGATAAGGGACCCTAGACGCGGGTGTCACCAAATTCTTAGCGCAGGTTGCAGCGACCGTGGGACCTTGATTTCAAGATGTGGTATAGGGTAAGGGAAGTGGACATGATTGGTGTGTGACAGAAGCTGATACATGATCCAGGTATCAGGCTCTCAGTAGTTCGTACACAACTCACTCCTATGCTCCTCGCTATCGACATCATGTACGGCCGCTAAAGCAACTGGATTTCAGAAGCATGGCGGTTGTTTACTCAGTTGCCATGAACAGCAGCAACTGGCTTTATCACTATGACTATCTTTCATCAACAACCTGAGAGAGGACCATTCGAAGCGTTAAACTGCCCGAATGCGGGAGTGCATTCCAGAAAAAGAAACCTACAGTGGTGGAGAACGCATCAAGCGGTAGGATGCTTCAAAAGGCTACTCTAACAGGTTGCTGAATTTTCGTGTGAGGGTTATGGAGATTTTTGGTACTAACTCCGAGAAAAGAATGGACAAAAGGATAGATTTCAGCGTTACATTGGGACAACGGTTACAATTCCTACCATATATAATCGCTATGTCCGTGCGTGTGCGTCTGTCACGAAATTCATAGCGCCGGTCCCAGTAGCAGCGAGATATTGGTTCCAAGAAGTGACGTAGAGGGTGTGACGGGAACACTATTGGTGGGTGATAGGAAGTGATATCAGTTGATAATATCTGATAAGAGGCCTCAGAAGGGGACTCTCACCATATTCGTAATGCGGATCACAGCATCAGCCAGGTGTTGATTCCAACATATGATGTAGGGTATGGGAAAGGAACATTATTGGTGGACGACAAGAACTGTCAGCTGCTGATAAGATTCGAGGGATGTTAGAAGGGTATGGTCACTGAGTCCATCACGCGGGTCACAGCAACAGTAGGTTGCAAGATACGATGTAGGGTTTAGGAAAGGAACACTAGGTTGGTGACAACAACTGCCAGAATCTGATTGGATAAGGGGCGTCAGAAAGATAAGGCCACTGTTTCCATACCGTGGGTCGCAGAGTCAGCGTTGGTTCCAGCAGGTGATATAGGGGGTGAAATGGGGTCAGGAACGGTGGGTGACAAAAAGCCATAACAACTGATAGGGACTGATAAGAGGCCTTGCGGTCATCGTTGTTCAAGGTGTTAGAGCTTTCGAAGTACCAAATTCCAAAGTTTTTGTGAACAAACGAAACTTTAGCCCATTGCTCGAGCTATTTTCAGTTATTTTTCTACATTTTGCTGGAAAATGCACTGTGACGGTTAGGCGTATTTTGCACACTCTACCTCGCCGGCCCGGCGAAGCCGGGCCGTGACAAAGAAGGAGGAGCACCCGGCGGCAGCCGGGTGATCCGACTGGTGACAAATAAAGCTATTCAGATATCCTGATCTGAATGTGACTGTCTACGAAGCTGGAGCGATGTTTGTTGACCAGATGTTGAGTTTAAGAAGTACCACAATTAAGGTATCTCCAGTTCGCCTTCTTCCACTCCACTCAGAGCTGAGAGCGTCGTCGTGGAGCTGCTGACAGAACTTGAACGTATTTAGCCGCTTTAATTTTGCGTGTCGTGCGGTGGTGTGGAACCAAGCGGGTGGCTATAGCGGTAACTGCGTGAACATTCTTCCAGACCGCTCTGCTGACCCTGCTCTCGATGACAATCGTATGCGCTATATTTATGCCGAATCCATGCAGTGTTGTGACAGCCAGCGTGTCAATTGCTTCTATCAGCACGGGTAGGTCAGACGATTCTATCAATTCATGGTGATTGGCATCCCCGATAGGTGTGTGCCAGGACAATCGTAATATGTCACTTTAATGGGCGTGGCGAGCGACAGGCGAGTTTTCTCATCTGGCCTTTTCGACCCAAGTGTTCAAGGGACGGGAAACATCGGTATCGCCCGTTCTGGAGCTTTGCCTCTGCTCGAATTCACATGCATTTCGCCATTCCAGTGGGCCAAACTCGGCGCAACGAGAATCTTGCCACGCGCGCCGCGCGCGAACGATGCACTAAATTACAAGCGTCTAGTCCATCGTTCAGTTCCCATAGCAAAAAGTTGGAGCACAGGGACTAGAGACTTAGGAGTCAGAGGCACGTTTCGCAAAGAATTTATGCGCAGTAGAGCGGAAAATGCGACTTTGGAGGAGCCCGACTCATTTATGCAAAAGAAAGAAAAGGAGGTCACCGGGAACGCTACGAATCAGACCTGTTCGAGATTTGTACGAATTGCCAGCGTAGGGACGAGTTTCCTCAGAGTTTCTGGCTTTTCGCTTTTGCGAACTGATACCGGCGGCTCGTCCCGTCTGATTTATTTAGGCGTTTTTTTATGTTAAGTGTACTTCATGTTCATTCCCGTGAGGAACGAGTGGGCGGGGCATCAGACTGTGAGCGGGCATTGGGCACGTCACGATCCCTAGTCTCCTTTCCGTTCAAATCCGAGTGACGGAAGCATTGCAGCCTATAAGTATGTCACCCCTTAGGTAGTCGCGATATGCGATATTTGAGAGAAGGTTCTTATCTGGTTCAAACACAGTTCCAAATTTCTTTTCTGAATTCATGGAATTAATTTAATTTAAAGACAAATCTGAAAAGAAATACCGTTCAAGGTGTTATTGGGATCATGTCGCGATTTTCTTTCGATCTCGATCCAATTGTAATGGCATGCCTTTTGATGACAATCGGAATGAGTGTTGACTACATCGCACACGTAGCATATCACTTCCAAGTTAGTACTGTTGCGTATAACCGAATTCATTGGGATTTATCCCTTCCTTTGAAGTGATGGTAAGGGCTGCTGAGTTATGGAGCCTTAGTTTAGGTTGACACGAGGACTGAGTTCGAGAAGGGACAGATCGTTAAAATACGCATGGGAAGCCCACGACAACGGCTAGAGCACACCTTACGTACAGTTGGATGGCCAATGATTCAAGCCGGCTTGTCGACCGTCTGTTGCATCTTTCCTTTGACATTTGTACAAGTGAGTTTTGGCTCTTCCTGGCAACCATTTTTGTCCTCGTTTCGGGATAGAGGCAGTTGGGGGAAGGGGGGTAGACGGTACGCGGACCACGTCACGTCCGCTTATCTGTGCCCTCTCGCTGTCCATTATAGTTTTGCAGTGATTCCTGGTCTGTTTCGTGAAGGGAATTTGATTGTAAATACGAGTGAGGTGTATACTACCATTCCATGGATTCGAGGAGTCTTGGCAAGAGAGTGAGTGCCTCCCACCCCGCCATCCCACTACTTTTTTGCCCCTTCGTTTCTAACTTCCTATTAGCTCAGCACAGTTTACTAAACTGTGTACTGGAAAACCTACTGTATAGCGCGATTTTCAGACGTATTCGTCAGCGGTTTTCACAGCGTCAATCTCTCTGGTTGTGTTGTTCGGGATAACACATGGTCTATTGTAAGCGACTCATTAATCTAAGATTGTTCTAGAATTCGTGAGTGCTCGTCCGTAGAGCAGGAGGTGGGGGGGGAGGTGGGATGCGAGCTAATCCATAACCACGCCGTTTAAAGCCCATGGTACGCTCAAGACACCATTGAAGGTGTTGCACAACAGCCCCCAGCGAGTCGAATATTCGTGTTTCCCGCTGAAACTGCACGGGGGTCCGAGTACGGGACCGGTGGAAAGGAATCTATTCCTTGGCTACCGGGTACCGCCCGAATGCCAACTGGCGGCAGACGACAATGCAACGCGCGGGTGCATTTTGGCGGTGTAGCAAGGAATAAGCCTTTCCACGGTCCCGTACTAGGAACCCGTGCAGTTTCGGGCGTTCGGGAAACCACGACACATCGACAGCTGGGGGGCTGTTAGTCTCATACACCCTTAATGCGTTTGAGCTAACTCAATGTGTCTATTTAAACAGAGTCAATCCAGACTTCTCTCCGCGCGAGCGGTGTTTCAGACCCATTGCTTACGGTTTTCGCGCTAAGCGGCGTCTATAGCCGACGCCTTTTTATCCACACGACTTGTGGCGCGCAGATTATAAACAAATGAGAATTTCGTCATATGAATATGATATAAAAATGCTGAATACACGTCGCATTATTATTACTTTTATTTGTTTTTTCAAAAAGTTTCAAAAAATTTTAGATTTTTCTTAAAAAAGAGATTTTAGATGAACATTCTGAACGTTTCTTTACTGTTCTTCTTCGTTCATTTTTTCACATTACGTTACCATTCTTGTGTGAATGTATAAAGCACGCTTCTACTCAGCAAGAAAGCTGGCATTATGAGACATAAATTTCTTATAAAAAGAACAAGTAGTATTATTGAGTGAACGATTTATTTATCTTTTAACTAAATTTATAATTCAAGATGCAACCCTTATTTCTTGGCTTTCCTTAGATAGATGGGAGCACTAGAAGTGAGGATAGTTGCATAAATGCAGTTTCCGGCGTCTAAGGGCACGTGCGAATAACGGAATCAACGTAGAGCTTACTTCTTATGAGTAGCCCCTCATAAATTTAGATAAGAAAGTATGTCTTAATGATTACGATCGAAATACCATAAAACCTTATTCATTCAATTATTATTTTTTTTATTTGTTAAAGACATATCGGTGTCGCGCGCCCTAATGCAGGCCCTCTCGATCTGTTAATGCTAAACGAAATTTAATATTGTTACCTGATAAAATGATGAACCGAAAAAAAATGCGAAAGTAGCCAAAAAAGCTTGATAAATTAAGTAGAGTTGAAAAATTGACGCAGTTTAGCCTTTCGAGAACTATTAGTCAACATGCAATCGCAGGTAGTTCTCTCGCGTGGGTGTGGCTCCGGGTGATCTCCACTCTACGCATTTCCTGTCTGGTCATAATCAGGGTTTTGGTTTTATGGGTAACTGAGAAATGAACAAAAATATACTAGCTGGTGTATCTCTCGAAAAATGTCAGTAACTTAACTCTAGTTGAATCATATAATTCCCCGTATAAACATGGAACTCTGCTGGATGAGTTCAAACGAAGCGTGCTTCACCAGGTGCAGCACTCGGCCATACAGAGGTGGACGAGCGTAATGCACATGGGGCATCACGCGTTGCCATGGGATAAAAAAACGAGCTAGGAAGATGAAGCATTCGTCTTTTGTTGGTGCAGCACAAGAACTCGTTGGGGGGAATCCTCAGCAGGGGGGGGGTCATATTTGGGCTGAGGAAAACTTATTTTGATATTTGATTTTTCTCGCTTCACGGAAGTAGTAAAAGGGGAGCGGTCGTACTTGCTCATTGTTGGGTGGGGAGAGGGTCGTATTTACTTTCTGGCCTTTCTAGGAGTCTAGGAGTGGTGGTTGACTTTTCGTGATTTTCCCTGTTTCATGCGTACTATAAACCCCCTCCCCTTTGCCCCTTCCCCTCGCTCTGACCGCTCGTAACTCGATGGGGCGAAGCAGAGGGCTGAAGGAGGTCGTACTAACCCCAAAAAGGGGAGGGGTCGCAGACGGACTCGACTAAAATCCCCAACTAATGATGTGCCCTGTGGCGCCAGTCGCTTGTCCATGTGCGGAAACTGCTTCCAGGTACTGCGTTCATGATATCTACCTAACCTGAAAAGTTTGCTGAGAAAATCAGTGCTGTAAAATGGGACGGAAACGGGTGGATGCGGGCAAGAAAGAGGCTGACGAAAACCAGAAAGACTCTCCCGAGTAGACGAATGCAGAATTATGTGAGAAATATTCAGTAGTAATGTTGAAGAAAGAAATAGATCTTTACGAAATTAAACCGAATCTATACCATCTTTTTTATTATTCAATTTGGGCAATAAAATGTTGTTGTTTACGCGCCCTCAATTCGTTGAGAATTGAGTGATGCAATTACGTCATTCGACATCAAATCGATCTCGCTTGATTGCTATTCGTGATAGCTGAGGATGCAATTCTTCATTCAATTCTTAGGTATGTTTTAGACTTCTTCTGTAGCAACTTATTTTGTCTGCTTCGGCAGTCCAAAACTGGCGTAGGCGCGGTTAGTCGCATGCCGCGCGCAGTCTAATCGCTCGGAGCCGCGGAGTGTAGACGTGGCTTCTGATAGTGATGATAGATCGAATAATGACGCATGCCATCCATTCAGTTGCAAGTTTCCAAATGGGTAGGAACTGGGAAACTGATGGCAACGACAGGACTCCAAAGTAAATAGGAGCTGATAGTTGGAGCAATTGACAAAAGCAATAGTGGATTGAAAGGAGGAGGCGCCAGGGAGCCGATAACGCGCGCCACGGGAACCGTGGGACGTGGTTCCAGGCGTAGATGAAAGGGCTGGGATAAGGATATTGACTATGTGTGACAGGAAGTCATTGAACTCATAGGAGCTAAGGGGTGTTAGAAATCGCCACGAAATTCATATCGCGCCAGGACTCTCGAGCAACTTGAACATGATTCCTTTGAATGGGTCGATCTTCTATTTTCCTCTGCACTCTCTCATCCGTATTGCATTCTGTAGTTACTAAGATTTCACCGCACATTTCGATGTTGAAGCAGCCACACGCTTTTATTCCTTGCGCTCTGGCCTATACCGTCAGGACTCCCAGAAAGTTGGTTGTCACAAGACCGCCTTGCAGCTCGCCTTCTGGTTGGGGATTTTGGTCGGGGGGGGTAAATAGCATATGTGAAACGGGAAAAGCTGCGGTGGAAATACGACCCCTCCCACCAATTCTCAGATTTTCATGACTTCCTGCCACTTTTTCAGAATTTCCCGAAAACTTCCCTACTTTTTCCCAAAAATTTTGCTGTCGAGGGGGGATATGTAGTACACAAGAAACTGGAAAATCAGGAGAATTCCGGAAAGTCAACCAAATCTCCCAGAAGGTCAAAAGCCGGAAAGTGACACGACCCCCCCCCCCTCTCCCTCCCAACAAGGAGCGAGTACGATCTCCCCTTTACACCGTCCCTAAAACAAGAAAGTCAACTATGATAATGAATTTTCCCTAGCCCAAATACGACCCCCCTCTTGGCGACCGAATACGACCCCTCCCCTGTTGGGGATTCCCCAGCAACGATGTGCCCTGCTTCATTCGCAGTGTGTCGCTTCTCCAAATGCTCGGCTTTCTATTGGACAACATATGTTATGCTCCCTTTCCTTTGCTGATCAATCATAAGTGGCATTTACAGATTCATATTTATACCACAAGCCCTTTGAAGCTACCGTCAGTTGTGTTCAGGAACAATGCGTCCAGGAACAAAGTTGTGTTC